ACCTGTACTATTAGGAATTTGTATAGGATTATAAAATTGTATGGGAACAAACCGTTATTATAAAAAATCAACTACTTTAAAAAATTCAAAACTCGTCGTTGCCAATTATTTGTATTATGTTTATATAGAAAAAATAATATTTCAGTTATTTTTGCCTGGTCGATAAGCGAAGAGTGACAGATGGAAAATTAATTTAAACGAACTCTGATTTGTGATTCGAATTCTCAAGTTACCTGAAGCAAGAAGTAACTCTATTGACTGAAAATATTCGAGAATAGAGCGTTAAATAAAAGATACAAAAATTGGCCTAAACTGACTGCTTTTTTAAAATTAAGATGCCAAAGTGATTTCGTTGGTTAAAAAAAATCCTTGAATGCAATTTCAAGTAAATGAAGAAAACAACACAAAAAGTCAGTGAGTTTCTTTAAGTTAATTGAGGCAACGTGTTTGGGCTTTATTCATATCTTATATAATGATGAAGCGAATGGTTAAGATTCAGATTAATTATTCAGTGCGGAATAATTGTAAATATTACCACATATACCCATTTCAAAATAATTTGTTTTTTTTAACAAAGTTCACCAGTAAATGTTGTCGGTCCGTAAAATTTTGGAATTAACGAATCTTATTTTTGGATATAAGAACGATTTAAATATCCCCAAGAGAACTTGAAATTTGTTGCCCCTTCTTAATCATCACATATTATTATACGGAAATGTATTTGCTTCTTGCTAGCTTCAAATGCAATCTTAACGACAAAATTATATAAAGTTCGACTTTTTATCAAAGTGACTTTCAGTATTCATGTCAATTCAATATTCATAGATTGCCTGAAGTAATCTACGTCGATCTAGGATCTGGGTGTAAGAATTTCTCATATAAAAAGAGAATTGAAGTAAGTAGAGCAGCAACATTCCATATTTCTGTCCAAACCGCAAGTGCACGAAATAGTATCTCATTCATAATGAATACATTTTTTATTTATTCGATTGGCAATGTCTTTTATCTGAACATCAATTTGAAATAATATTTATCTCAATGTTTAAAAAAAAATCTGTTTTTCCGTTAACCAGCTGTCGCACCCCTACGAACGACAACCCTCAGATGTCGAAACTTATGCGAGCTAAGGATTAACGAGGTCTTACCTTTTTAACGTGTGATTCCTAACACGGATATTAACATACCCGTGTTAGGGTATGAAACAACTAGTATTAACATACTAGTTGTTTCAAGGTAATAACGGATCAATTATAGAAATATTTTTTCATATTCATCTTCATTGTTACAGAAACTCATTATTATTACGAGTAAATTTTTGTTTGGTTGAAAGATAACATTTATGAGTAACTTACGATAACGGAATCAAAAAGAACTCAACGTATTTTGTTTTCTCATCAGACTATGACAAAAACATCAGGTTAGTTTAAACTGATTCAGGTTATGTGACTCTTTCTATACAAAATTCTAAAGACCTGTTCAGCTTTTCAGTTTGTAATTTCGAATTGTTCAAAACGCCATTCAAAATTAGTAGAACACTCATATAATGATATAACTTCTGCAACACTATGTTTAGCATCCAATTGGGTGACTATCTTGTGATACGTTACTTTTACCAAGTATCTCATTCATTCACTTATTTAAGATAAGTCGATAAATATACTTAGTTTAATTCTCAAGTTTGAACAGATTCCAAATATGTTTTTTGTGCAAATTAATTCATTTTCTACCTTTCATTAAATTGAAAATACGGTAAAAAATAATATTGAATGAATGAATTGATGAATGAAACGGCAAATTGCAACCAAAATGAAATGGGTTCAAACGCTTGGAGACCTTGGCACAGATTGTAAATTTGATACACCAATACCTATATCAATATCTAGCGAAGGTCAGTAACCTAATCGTTTACCTTCATATGGTTTAAGTAAGTCAAAAAACTGTAACTGTCCAACTTTTATCTACCATTGTAATAAATTCAACGGCAACTTTAATTACATCGATTAAAAGGTGGAACGGTTATACTCATTGTTTTAGAATTGTTTCATAATGACATATATTATTTTATTGATTACTGATGATGCAACCTAGAGTGAAGACTTATAAAGAAAATTACGAATATTCCAGTAATTAACATAAAAAAATGGATTCGATTGTCAGATAAGTATTTATTAGAAAGGGGCGAGCTTTCTCAACAATAATTTATATCAATCGCAACAAAGTATAAAACGATAAAATGTATGTCATTCAAATGGTTCTTAATTTTCAATATTAACAATATTCATGTTTTTTTTGGAAGTAAAAATGATGTATTTTCAAATAGACCCACCTCACATATTTTGTGAGAACTGAATTTGAACCCCAAGTTAGATAGGCCCGTATATCCTTAAAATTTCTATTAATATAAATAAATGTGTAAAAGTCGATATATAGTAAACAATCATATTAACTTGGGAGAGAAAATTCGAAAAATTATTTTCTACTTTTCATAAAATTTAAAAAGGTTATTGAGCTTCCTATGTCAATTTTTTATCATATTCGCAAAATGTACACATTACTGGGCTTCCACCTGAACATTTATTAGATGGAACCGACATTAGAACCACCTTCCAATAATGCCAACTTAGTTGACGAAACATTTCTATGTAATATTCTGGAAGTGCATTTCAAGGGCTGCTCGTAAGGGTAGTAAAACGTTTATCAACGAAATGAATGAACCTGTTGCAAACCAAACTAAATTTCAAATCTCAGGTGAAGTCCTCACATTCTGTGGTCGCCATTGAGAATAACTTCGTACGCATTGAGAAATTAAACGAGCATAATATGATATCATTCTGTGAATTGAATTACATCGGGCACCGTTTCGCATGACCTCGATTTCTGTGGCTCATCTGACACATGTTTTCTCCATCAATTGACTTTCAAATAGACCACAGACATAGTTTATAGGCGAGATTTAGTATATCATCGCTAAGAATGAGCATTTGTGGGCAGTAATTTAAATTAACGACACGAATGATTAGACTGCAGCAAGCAGACTATCTTGATTCATACAAAACAAAATACATGAACTAACTAGGAATTTTATAAGGCTTCACACGCACTCTATATTGCTATTACGAATAAAGCCACCATTCGAAAATAACGTCAACCAAGAACTATATCTACTTAGTTATATAAGGACTTCCAGAAATTATGTACAAATATAATTTTTTCATCAATGCTTTTTCTACAAATGAATTGGAACTACGTTCCAGCTGGAAAAAACAAAACAGGAAATCACTCTTAATCGATGAAATTATTTGCTGTAGGAGATTTTGCCTAAGGTGAATAGATATTTATTATCTGAACGAAACTTGGTTTAACTAAAATTATACCGTTGGAAAGATGTGGCAAGGCAAAAACTTTACAATTTCACGTCAAGCATTTTAAGAAGGCTTGGCCTACCGGATTAAAGTCGCCTTTTGGAAAATGAAAGCGACTGATTATTACCCACATTGCAAGTGTTGATGGTTTTGTTGAGGGCGGTTTATTGATATTTGAGTCGTAGCATTTTTGTGATCCACTGTTTGGAACCTTTGGTGTAGTAATGAATATTACTGGAGTTTCTTCCCAACACCAAATCGTTATGTTTAACACTACGACACGTATTTCGTATGTATAGTTATATGTTTCAACAAGTATTTTTTATTAAATACCCAAATGCACGCCACTGCAAGTTGAAAACTACCCGAAAGCTCATAAAATATTTTTCGTGTCCCGTTTGGTATACAAATAAACTGTGGATCCGGTAAAGTATCATAGACCCGCCTATATCAGTTGTGGTAAATCATAACGGAATCACAAAATTTTCTTTGAGGAAACTGTAAGCGGTTTGCATTATTTAACAATAATAATAAATGCTTTTATTGAAAAAATACTCAGTACAAGAGATACTTATAATGAGCATGTAATTTACTATTAGGAAACTGAGTAAAGATCAGTTCAAGCATTTAAAATATTGCAAAATTTTCCCAATTATTCTTATTCTCAGCACTCAACGAAAACTTCAAACAATTATATAATTCAAGAAATTTTATACACCTTTGTTGTTTTGAAATATCTTTCGTCTCAAGACCAATTTAAAAATTCTTTATTTTGTCAGGATAGGAGACAGCGCTGTAACATATTTTTCGAAAAAATCATCTTTTATATTTTTCCTGTTTATCATAGGCATTGCAGGAAGTATAAAATATCTATATTAAACCTTGAGTAATCACATATCTTAACTGGTTCATTATGAATGATGGTCTACGTATTTCATTTGCTTTTATAGCTTTTCCAGCAGTAACTTTTAATATCTAGCTTTAAATAATGAAACATCCTCTATAATCGTTTATTTTCCAACCACATAAAATCGTCATAAACAGAAGTGTTCAACCACACCAGAAGAATTTCAATAAACCGTGTTTACCAATGCAACCTCTAATCTCGTAAATATAGGCATTACCACCTCATTTCCTTTTGTAGTATGCAATTAACTATATAGTTTTGAAAATGGGAAAATGTCTAACGAATCATATCTTTTTCATTTTTCGAATGATGACTCTTATCAGTTCGTTTCATTCAAGAGGTTGAAGAAATCATCTCAAAAATGTTAAACTGGCAATAATCAAAAGCCAACATTTCCTTGGATCACACAGTATATTTATTCAAGCAAGTATGCTAATAAATAAAACCGAATCTATCTGAGAACTCATCGAATCATAGGTACAAAGAGCATTGTAAAAATTAAATGATTCACCGAAGTTTTATATTACCATAAATTATAGAAAGAATTATGACGTCATCTGTCATTCGGTAAGAGTTGAATTAACAACGAAACGAGTCATCATTCACTGTTCAACAAAAGAAATCTTGCAGCCTTCATGAAATAAGCACTCGAGAATGGCCATCTGAAATAATATGTATATCGCTTAACAGTTAGGTATGCACCAAGTGTAATATTTTTAATTTTTTTACAGATATACTCCGATCCTGAGTCAGAGAAGGCTATTATGAGCTCGGTTGTCTACTGCATTCACCACAAAGAAGGTTGTAAATGGTCCGACGAGCTTAGGAAATTGAAGGTATGTAAATGATATGAAGACACCTATGATACACAGTACTAGCAAAAATATTTTACAAGTCTTGCTAGTGAAGTTTCTCAATAGGCTCAAAGGCTTTTTTGTTACTTCAACGGAACCATATCTCACTATGATTTTTATGGTACTACTAAATTTGATTGCAAAACCTCAATATTATAAAATATTTGAAATGTTTTTCGTTATTCAGTCTCTTAGGACGTTATTTATGAAAACCATGATCTACGTTAAGATAAGAATATTTAATATGATGTGAAATATTCTACAACATTATAAATGATTGACAAAAGAATGTAATAATTAATCATCCGTATGTGTATATAACATATGTTTATTTCCATATGTATATTCATGAACACTTTCTATGTCTTAGTTTTGGTGTTCACAACCATACTGACTGTCCCTATACAAGTATTATCAGTATTATAATTCCATTTCTGTATCATCTCTCAGCAACATAAAGAACTTAAACCTACCTAGATGTATTAAAATCTAGGAATGCTTGGTTATTTTAATACGAAGTATCTGTATTTTTAAGTAATCCATAATCCTTGGCGATCCAACAGTACAAAATTGAAGCAATTTTCTTGTAAATACTTTCGATATTCTGCATACGACTGTCTGATTATTATGCTTAGTAGACTCCTGTTTATTATATGCGAGCGCTTTCGACAGCTGGTCGTGCTATCATCATCAAGGTGTTGAGTAGAGCCTTGATGATGATACCCAAGTCAACTTGCCAAGTTTTTATATCAGTGTTGGTAGTTTGACTTGCAACTTACCGCCTTGAGGGAGCTGCGTTTATCATTGATATTGGAGAAGTCTTTAGTCGATACCATAGATGGCGTCTTCGTATGGGGTCTTTACTGCATAAACTATTTATCCACCACTTTATTTCATTGACATACATTTGTCCTTGTCTTTAATCTTGCACCACTTTCTTTCAAATCATTCATGAAAAAACAAATGAACAGTTGAAAAAGAGTTACATCCATGAAAGGAAAGATTTATTTTTACATGGTCATTAAACTATTTCCACATTCGATTTTTTCTTCCTCATTACGTTCTATCAAGAATTTGAAGAATATTTTCAATAAAATTTTTCTTTTCAACCATTATTTAAAATTCACCTCAACGATTTTTTGCAGGGTCACTTGAATACTTGTAAACACGACGCTATTCCTTGCACAAGCAAGTGCGGAGCTCAAATTCCCAGGGTTTTGATGGAGGACCACCTCAAATATACCTGCCCACAAAGACGAACAAGATGTGAATTTTGTAATAAAGAATTCACAGGACATACTTTGGAGGTAAGCATTCACAAAAACATCTCAACTAGATAAGAAACCATTCGTATTCCGAAACAACATGCAGCATTCATTATTTTTGTGGCCACTTTATGAATATTGACGAATGACGGGAAAAATTAACGACTTGAATACCACCCACGGTGGTATACATTTTCCGATATTAATTTCTTTGATGACGAGTATTACCCTCTGTTTGAAGAAAAATATAAACAAACACTGTACTTTCAATACACATACATTTCTCCCATCTCATGTCATATGGCACAGACATCAAATTGTGTGAACAGAGATTATGGGACACTTGTTTAATGATAATGATATTCTGTGTTTATGAATGAACATATGTTAAAAGTATATTACTCTTTCAGAACCACGTTGGCAACTGCGGGTATGAACCTCTTTATTGTGAGAACAAGTGTGGAGTAAAAGTTCAGAGAAGACATCACAGCCAACACAAAGTTGGAGACTGTTCCAAGAGGCTTCTGTCCTGCCGATATTGCACAAAGGAATTCGTGGCAGACACCCTAGCAGCTCATCATGTAAAATGCGGAAGAGTTCCAATCCAGTGCCCGAATCGATGTGATATTAATGTTCTGGCACGTGAGGAGCTAGAAACCCACATCAAAGAGGAATGCACTGTTTCCGTGCACAGCTGCAGCTTCAAGGAAGCTGGATGCAGATTCAAAGGTCCGAGGTACGTCATGGAAAAACACCTAGAGGAGAACTGCCAGCAACATCTGACGCTTATGTGCAACGTGGTTTCCAAGCAACAACATCAGATCAGTTCGCTGAAAAGTGCCTTGTCCAGGCTGTCTCTGAATTATTCTGGAACTCTGATTTGGAAGATCAGCGATTTTTCTGGGAAGATGTCCGAGGCAAAGAACAAGGAAGGCATGGAATTGGTTTCCCCACCCTTTTACACTAGTCAATACGGTTATAAATTACAGGTAAGAAAGACATTATACGTTCTTATACGTTCTTTTGATGTACACGCTGAGTTAGAACATTAATATTAAATTCTACTTTCTGTTCTATCAGAACAACAGTATTCCAAAATATTCAAAATTGTTCTTCCTGCTTGCGAAGACATGAAGTAATTTGTTTGTTAATGTCATTCATAAAAATTCAGGTTAAATACTTTGGTATTTAACCTGTTTACCTTTTAACGTGTGATTCCTAACACGGTTGCAGAATCATTCCAGCTTCAACCAGATACATTCTCTCCAGAAAAATATCTGGTCGAGGCGGGAATCGAACCCATGGCCTTCCGATCGTGAGTCGGGCGCACTGCCACCGCGGCCAATTCTGAAAAAAAAGTGAAAATTAAACTATAGATACCTGAAAAGCAAAATTCAGATTTCAATATTTTGAAAAAATATAATGTGGTCTGTGATCTCTGAAATGTATCGAGTTGATAGTACAATGAATTATAAAAAAAAAGAAACCAGTTAATACTGTTTTTCAATTGAATGAATCCGTTCTCATGAAATTTTCTTCGGCCTAATAATTCACCAATGAATTTGAAAATTTACATTTTTCCAAATATTGTGTAGAGTAGAACATAGTAAAATTATTAAAACTAATTCCATCATCGTCTTCATAACTATTCAATTTCGTAAAAAGTTTATCAATCAATTGTCCCCAATGTATTAAATAATTTTCTATAAAGTTTATTTCTGTAGGCGATCTCAACATATTTCCCAATGATTCAAGACATTATGATTTTATGTTTTACTATACTTTCTGCAGAAATTCACATTCCTATTTACAGGTGTTATGATGCTGTGATGCCTGAAGATGCTATTGTATAGCGAAACAAGTGTCACGGTTTTTAAACGGACAAGTAGAAATCTCACATTGAAATGTTTTTTGAATACGTTTTGATGCAAAAAACCACTAAAATCTTTCATAATACAATTTTATATAGCCTGATAATATTTGAAAAAACCTCTTAGCATTAACTTCAATATAAAAAATAACGAACTCCACAAAAAAGTGCTCTATCTGACTTCTGGAAACAAACTGAATCACTATTTTTTTGTTACAGGCATCTCTATTTCCGAATGGAAATGGCGCTGGGGAAGGTTCCCACATCTCTGTCTACATAAAGATTCTGCCCGGAGAATACGATGCTCTTCTTCGTTGGCCATTTTCCCACTCTGTTTCCTTTACTCTGTTCGACCAATCTACTTGTCCGGAAAAGGCTTGCAATATCGTGGAGAGCTTCATTCCTGATCCAACCTGGAAGAATTTTCAGAGACCTAGTTTAGAACCAGACTCTTTAGGCTTTGGTTTTCCCAAATTCGTCTCACATGAAATGCTCAAGAAGAGGCATTTCATGAAGGATGACACAATGTTCATCAGAGTTAAAGTGGACCCCAGTAAAATTGTTGCTGTATAGAAAAAATATGGATTGTTTTGTTGTTGATCTCATTTTTGTTTTCGTTTGTAAATATAATCTGTAAAAATGTATATTTTTGAAAATATTCTAAGACTGCATTATGTGAATGTATGGCTCACCTACGATGGGTTTTCTCGAATAAATTCAAAATCAACCAGATGGCACGTGAACTATTACCAAGCTGATGTTTTAATTGTTTTTCAAATAAACAGTGAAATGTGTATGACAATTTTCATGTCAATTTTTAATATTCCTGAAAAATTTGGAATATAGGGATACATTTTTGGAAAGGTAATTTTAAGCTCAGTTAAAATATGCAGGAATATACAGGGTGTCTCATTGGGAAAATAGTTTTCTATCAATAACTATTTATATCTCTAGTATTTCAAAGATGAGTCTAGCAAAACATCAAGTGTGCTACATTTCTGAAAAGTTAATTTTAAGCTCTTATTCAGTACTTTTACTTTCAAGTGTAGGTAAGTTAATCCTAATGTAAATGCCAATGGTTGAATGCCAATGGGTTGAATGTTTACACCTTTGGTTTCGAAAATCAAATAAGATAGTTACACAAGTCGCTGTGGCAGGCAATGCATTGATATGTAATCAAGGAAAAAGTTTGCGAAACACGATAATGTTATTTATAGATTCTGAATTTGAAGACTGCTTTTGGTTCTATTCATAACGCTTGTTACACATTTACAACAATCCTAAATGTGAATTTTTTTAGTATGAAGCCTCTTTAGCTCAGTGGCAGAGCACTGGTCTTGTAAACCAGGGGTCGTGAGTTCAATCCTCACAGGAGGCAGTAAAGGCAATTTTTTTTCAATCAAATATAAATATGGGTTTTGTCATCCAGCATACTGAAAACAGAAAGTCATATGGTTAGCTAAATTTTTTTGAACATTAATAAATGGAGTTATATTCGATGGACCAACTTTATACTATTGAATATCAAATAAATGATGCGACATGTATTTCAATTATTTCGAAGTGTTCAGGTTATTATAGATACTTGCAAAATACTTCACAGATAATTTTTATCTTTTAAATGAAATATCAGCAATAGTAACACTCCACATTAATACATAAGTGATTGAAATGAAGAAATAATAGTAATGTATAAGGAACGGGTGATGTTCATGGGTAGGCAAGCCGAGCAAACACGTTACATTGCTTGGAGGTTATGGAAGCTCACATATTATACATATATTCCAAAATTATTGGCCGTATTCATTCAAAACTTAATTATTTTGAAACATCTCTTCATTCATAAATATAGAAAGAAACTGAAATTACATGTTTTGTACATATTCCAATAATGTGAATGTGATTCCTGTCGGCCAGTTTCCTCAGTTCTTCTCACCATTTTCAGAACAACCTCGATGTCACTTTTGATATTAGTGCCTCAAGTGCAACTTGGCTGTCTGGGAAAATATTGATCCGCTTATTTCGTCGAGACTTCAAATTAATTTTCCTTGCGCATGGCAAGATTGCATACACTTCAGCCTGGAAGACGAATGTGTACTGACCAAGTGGGCAACTGAAATGAAGACCCCCCCCCACAATAAATTGCAGCTTCCATCCCATGCTAGGTTTTCGAGCCGTGTGTATACCAAATGTTTCTGCCGAGCATGTTCTCAATATGACTGTTCATTCCCCACTCTTTGCGATTTCAGGCCTTATTGGCGAATATTGTGTTGAACATGTATTTCAGTGCCATACCTATGATTCGTGAACATGTTTGATGTTCGTTTCTTCACTCATTCTGAAATTTCTGTTTTGACCGAAGCAATGTAGCTTGGTGAATTTTACAGTTTCAATTGGTCCACCCTTGCTTCCCCCATTAATACTAATTGTATAGGAGCAAGATTCCAGAGTGTATCCAATGCAGCTGTAGGAGTGGTTTTCATTGCTCCCGTTAGTCCCAAACATGCAAGTCTTTGCATACTGCTTAGTTTGTTGATATCAGTGGTTCATTCTATCTTTGGCCACCAGACCATAGATGAATATATTATCATGGATTCAATCACCATGGTGTGGAGCCACTACATCATGTTTGGTTTGAGCCCCTATGGCTTTTTGTGGGTGCGCCTTATTTTCAACTCTTTTCATTTGTTAGTTAAAGGTCAGCTTGTGACCTAGAATCATCCCCAGATATTTGATCACCCCCAACCCGACAGATCGGACCACATCGGAGTCGATATCATTGGGGCATTAAGTTATAATATTCAGAGCTTGACTAAGTCGTCTGCATAGAATAGTACTTTGTGTACATTATGGTCCAGAAGTCATAGTAACTCACCCAAATAAGGTTCCATACTATTTGGGAAGAATATGTCTCCCGAGGACAACCCTTTGCTTTCCGTGCCACTACTGTCCCTCCCATGATAGATGTGCATACCAATTTTCCTAAAAGCATGTAATCATAGACCTGCAGCTTGTGTTGTCGATCCCTTTTCTCGTCGATGCATGGATGATTGTGTTCTAGAAACGCAGGTATTATTAAATCGGCTAAAAACACTTCCTTGTTCGTGTGAGCATAACCTTTGTGAGGACCGCCGAAGCCCCCTTACAGTGTAGTAGGATGGCTTGCACGATTACCACTTTTATTGTAAGTCAGCGGAGTCGCTCTGGGACCCCCTTCTTTTGTTTATAGTTGTCGTCCATTTAGTTCCCACGAGTATGGGGAAAAATCTTGTCCACATCCGTGGAGCCCTCTGCAGGGATGTAAGGCTAAATACTCTGAGAGGTCGCTTGGTACATCAGAGGCTCCAGCATTCGTCGCATAACATCACGGCATTAAGCTCCCTTTTCAGTTGCCCCTCCCAAAAGGAAATAATTACTTCCAGGGGTACCACAGGGGTGGTACCCTTCTTCGTTTGACTTTTCTCCCTAGACCCACCTGGCTTGAGAGGCTCAATCAGTGTTTGAGCTACCGCCGGAATGGCGTGAAAAATAATATACTTTTCTGGACGCACTTTCGCTGGTTACAAATAAAAAATTGATGTTCCGCTTTGAAGGTGTCGATTCAGATTTAAAATCTCGCAAAATGACCGACTCAAAAAATTCTACAAAGGAGTCAGAAAAATGTTTTCTTGTAATATCCGAGCATGTTTTCCATGTTACAACAGAGTTTCCAGTGTTCTGAAAAACATACTATTTCAATATGTTATTTTTGTAATAATTTCATCTTCCAAAGCCCATATGTTAAATCCTGCTATTAATTTATTTTGCTTTTTGGATAGCAGGTTTGTGTTATAATGAATATTACAATATTGATTAGTTATTTACGTCAGTTACAAACACAAGTGATATGAAACTATACTATACTCGTACTACACTGTATCCAAAGTACCATAAAAATTACAGAATACGAGTATCTTAAGCACAGTTCAAGAAGGACTACAACAGATCTGGTAGTAAACGCTGAAGAAAATACTTTCGTTTTACAACAAAACGGTGCAAATAAAAGAAAATTTCTGTTCAAATTATGGGAAATACGGAAGTAAAGTGCCTTTTTCTCCCTTGGATGTTTACTGCCCTCCACTTCGCGTCGGGCATCCTGCGGGAGATAAAGAAGGAATTTTATTTCAGGTAATTGATATTTTGGATGAAATTCAGCAGTAGGGTATTCTGGGAGAGCGAAGTTCTAGGGACGTACCAATGCATAATGTCGGACTGGGCCGGCAGGACTTGGATGTCAGATCGCTTTCCAGGAGCCTTCATTTCGGCTAAAACTATGGTCGGGCCGAGTAGTAGTGTGAGAGGCCCGCCCTACAGACCTGGGATGAAGTCATCTTCGAGGGGCTCGTTATCCATCCACTATACGAGGATAAGTAGAGTCGGAGACCTGCGGTAATTTAAGGAGTCCGACCCATGAGCCTAAGATACAGTCGTCAGCGGGATAGAAGACTTCCACATGCCGAGAAGATCAGGCGGTAGCGTGAGGAACCTGACTGGCAAATGTCACCCTGACCATATGACTAGTGCGACCACGCCCTGGCCATATCAAAAAGGCAGTCTGCTGGGTCTTATAAAACATTGATGATTAATGATTATACATATAACTTATCAATACAGTTTACTGTAATTCTCACTATGAAAAGTGTACCAAACCGCAAAATCGAATGGGGATGAGAATAACCAGCTTCAATTCAATGCCACAAAAACCCAGACATCGGTTGTCTCCAAAAAGATGAATATTTTCGAAACGGATATGATAATGTCAGGAAAATTGTGCATTTCACTTCGATAAGTTTGCCAAGGCACAATCATGTCGCTGGAATTGCAAAGGCTGCTTCTCAAAAGCTTGGAACACTGTTCCGAATCAGAAAACTGTACACACCTCAGCAACTCTCGATGTTTTATAAAGCTCAGATTAGACCTCCTTTGGAGTATTATTCTCATGTATGGAGCTCCGCCCGTTATATTTGCTAGTTATATTTGAGGTGCAAACAACGGTTTATATGGAAAAAATTAACATCGATGGCTATATGTAAGTAACGCTCTTTGAGAAAGCTGGGGAGCCACGACCAATTGTTATTTGACAAGCCCTAATACTGCAAAAGGCATTGGAAATGTCAGGCGCAATTGTATTGAACCAAAGGTTGATGAAACTGTATATAAAATTCAATAATTATAGTCGCTTATGAGGTTGAGGTATTCCAAATATTCAAGAGTAAGTTCATCAGCAACTTCTTTCTCCACAATTTTTGATATCACTGATTGAAAATCAAGTGGTCTATATTTTCTGGCACTTTATCGCTATAGGTTTAACTCCAGAAGTTTATCAACAAGAAGATGCAATTCCTTTTCTAGAACAATGATGCAAGTCCATTGGTGCATTTTTGATTACGATTTTTCGGGATCAGAAGTTTTATTGATGTTGAGGTGTTTCAGTATTCAGTAGTGATTCACTCTATGTAAGATGTGATTCGAACTCTTTAGTAGGTGAATTCGCTTTTTCTGTTGCAGTTGTTGCTATTTAACCATACGTTTGTATTAGTGATGGATTTAGCCACTGAACAGATAGTTCTAGAATCTTGAATTAAAATAATATATATTTAATGAAATTTCATATGAAAACTAAGTATTTGTGTTTTTCATAACGAAAGGTTTAAAAAATAATGACATGTGACACGTGTTTCGTTCTACAATAGCTTCCTCAAGCAGACTTGATAAAATAACCTTTAATTATAACTATTTTATACCCTAGGAACAT